GTTCAAGATGGTAATCTAGTATACTTTTTGATGTTTTACTTGAGTACTTTTTAAGTCTGTTACAATTACATTCATTGCATACCCATTTCAATGTTTCCTCAATAATTGAGTATTTTTTTAATGTAGTTTTTAGCTGCTTCCTTAATGAACTGTGTATCAATTTCAATTTCTTTTTGGCTGGATGAAAAATTTAAACTGGTTTTGCCATCGTTATAATTTACAGGGTTTTGTTCATCTATAATCTTTTTTTTTTCCAACCTTTTCTTTAAATCGGATATTGAAGTGGTATTTTCAATAGGAGAAATCATAATATTGTTAGACATTTAAAAATTGAATTTCTTAAAAAATGTTGATAGATATTGTTCAGAAGAATTATTTATCTAGTATAAAGCAGGGAAACATTACTTTGAGGTTTCAATTAAGATATTCCATAAAAAATTTAGTGTTATTAATTAAATTTTGATTATGACAGTTAAATTAAAATTTGAAAATATTTCAAAACCATATACAATTTGTGAAAAATAGGTAATAAAAATGACCGTCCGTACATGTATTGCCCCAAACGTTCTATTTATGAATTGAATAATATTCGGTTTTTTATCAGATTAGCTCGTAGTTAATAACAGTTGATATTTTATACAGTGTCAATTGCGGATTAAGGCATTTCAGACCATAGGCAGAGATTGGATGACCATAGACAGAGATGATTAAATTGGATGATTCGGCCTCATTTGATGACAACTGAGGGTTTTTTTTTAAAAAAAAACTTTTTTACTATCTATTTTTTTTTTTTTGGTAGTTTTGCCCCCTTTTTCCACCAAAATGTCATGTCATGACCCATAAATTTATTCAGATCAGTATCAAAAAAAACTTCAATTTAATTTTTTCAAATCTTTTTTACTGTTGAAATTATATCATTAAACAACTTAAATTAAACATTATCAGTAACAAAAGATTTAACTAATATATGCTTTAATAAATTTAGTATTTCATTTTATTAACTTTAATATAGTATATTTCACATATTTATTTCAGATTAAAATTACTAGCCTCTTTTTTAAGTGGGTTTTAAGGAACTGCCTAGTTTCCCTATTGGATAATCTTCCACTGCACCAAATACATATTTAGTTAATATTGTTTAACAACATTATAAAAGGAAAAAAAAGGGAATAATTTAACAAGATATATATTTAATTAAACAATATAAATATAATAAATAAAATTAATTGCCCAATTTTTACAATCTAATTGTTGTCACAATAATTATCTGCATTTTAAGAGTGTAGAACTAAACATTTACTAGTTGTTACATCAAAAAATTATTGGAGGTGTTAAATGAAGAAAATCCAAATATGCTTACCTACAAAACATAACTTTTAAAAACATGGTACCATTTATTTTTTAAATATTGGGTTCACATTTTTTTTGTTATAATATATAATTGAGTGGGTCTGAAGCCAAGGGGTACAAGTGACATTTTCATAGTTTTGAGATAAAGCTGTTAAAAGTTAAAGTATTTTTGTTAAATATACTCAGCTGTTGTTATGTTTTTCCAGTAGAAAGCAGCACAGGGCAGAGATTCACTTGTATCCCTCGGCCACCAACAATTTTGTTTGCTTCTTCTATTAAATTCTATACTTTACTTAATTTTGGTAAAATTGTCATTTGTACCCTTTGGCTTCTGACCCACTCAATTCACTATAAATTAAAAACTGAAAATAATTTTTCCGAAAACCTGAAAAACTCTGAGAAGTAAACTTTAAATTGATGTGCCTTAGCTGTAAGTTGTAACTTACAGCAATTAGTAAAGGCAAATAAAAAATACTGGCGATTTTATCTAACTTCACAACTAACAGGTTTATAAAAATTATTTTTACGTAACAGTAATAATAAGGGAGTTTAATTTAAATCTTAAATTGTAATTAAATAAAGCAATTGTAAAAATAACTTAAGTAATTTTTATTAAATGTATTGTATTCAGACATTTCATTTAAAAGTTTGTTTCAACCATCTCTGTAGCTTACAGGGTCAGCACAAGTAGGTAACACGAGAGAGCGCCGTTAAAATTTTGTCGAGTAGAAAAAGGAAAAAAATATCCTTGTTTTTTTAAATTTACCAAGTGACTGTTCTAAAAATCTACATTTGCTGACTTACTTATCTAAAAGAGTCAAATCGGCTTACTAAATGAGCTAAAAGTTTATTGATGGGATGTCACACACAAAACCAATCACCCCATCCCCTCACCCCTTTGCGCTGTCTTTGGTAGCTTATCAATTTTAAAGATATTTGTGTTTTGCCATGTTTAGTTTTTGGAATTTTTATGTAATATTTTCTTAAAGTACCTCATTAAACCTTTGACTCTGAAATTTAAAAGAAAATAATTTATTTTTATTTTTGCGGTATTATGTGATAAAATGATCATGTATTAGGAAACTTATACAAAAATTTTAATAGAAATGATATCATGAACCCAAATTATTTATATTATATATTTATAAATTTCTTTAGTTGGACTAAAAAAACAAAGTTGGGTAAATTTAGTTAACTAAAAACTTAGTTGGTTAATTTTAGTTAACTAAAAAGTTATTCTGGTAATTTTAGCTAACTAAAGAGTTAGTTTGGTATGTTTAGTTAACTAAAAAGTTAGTCTGGTTTTATAAGTTAAATAAAAACTTAGTCGACTATTTTAAGTTAGACTAAAAAGTTAGTTGGGTAATTTTAGTTAACTAAAAAATTAGTTGACTAATTTTAGTTAGGCTAAAAAGTTAGGTGACAAGTTTTAGTTACGTTTTTTTTAGTTTAGTTACAATTTTTAGTTTTGGTCACAACACTAACTACCTATTTATCTAAAGAATAAGATAAACCTCAAACCAATTAAATTTTATTACACAAATGTTACCTCTTTAGCTTTAATAAATTATTTGAGCTGTTCACTCTTGCTTTGACAAAAATAGACATCATCACAATTACAGAGACTTATTAAAATTCGTATTTAATTAAAATGATGGGTATGATCTCCATCAGGCTGACAGAAATAGAATTAAAGGTGGAGTTGCCATTTATGAATATAAAACATTAACAAGTATAGAAATTCTAAATCTTTATTTTAGCAATTAAAGGGTTGAACAAGACTTCTAAATAGAATTTTTCATTTAGTAATTGCGATAAAATCTATTTTTGATGAGATCTATTTTTGTTTGGTAAAAGCCATACCCATCAATGCTTTTATTTGAAGACTCTAATATCTATTTTATTTGTCAAAGCAAGAGTGGGCATTTTTTGATGTTAAAAGTGGTAGTTTAATACAATTGGTATTAAACTATCACTTTCAACAAATACATTACTTAAATTTTTATGGTTGTACATTACTCTTACCAATACCAATTTTGATAAAAAATACTGATACCAATTTACTGATACCAATTTTGGTACAAAATTGGTATCAGTTACAGTTTTCAAACAGTATATTAGTGATCTAGGTATTTTAGAAATATCAAACTCAATAAGGTGTTAATGAAGCTTTAAAAGTACTAAGGTTAATTTTAAAAAGTTGTATGATAAATTGTATAATAAGAAGATTGTATAATAAATAAATTTTGTACATGTGCACAAAATTAATTTATTTTGATATATATACACACTAGGGTGGGTCATTTTTCAACTTTTTACAATAAATGCTTTGGCTATAGGAATTTTGAATATTTTGGCCCTTGTAAAGCTAATGCAAAAAAAAAAAATGAAAATTTTAATTTTTAGGTTTTCAAATTTGAACCTCAAAAAAACAAGGTTTTGGGTAAAAATAATGTGATATACGCGGTTTGCTGTAACTTTTGACTGATTATTCCGATTGACTCAAAAACATCTTTGATTGAATCCTCGATCCCGATTCCCCTATTAGATACCTAGACAGTCATTTTATCTTAAAAACTTATGATTTTTAAAGTTTACAAAGATCGTTATTTTTTCTATACTTTGCTGTAATATCTTGCGCTGTTATGAAAAATATTTAAACTTGAATTTATTTAATAAATTATATGAGATAACTTAAGAAATATCATTCATATGATAATGCATTTGAAATGCTAGGTTTTATTGGACATGTTAAATTCACGACAAATATTGTTTATAAACTTGTGTAAATTTTGAGTTCTTTATTGATTGCTAAACGAACACGTAAAAATAGTCAAAGTTGCAAGTTAAGTTTTATTATTGGTTTTGCAAGTGAATTTTTAGATGCTGAGTTACCAGAGATGTTAGATGAGATGTTATTAAATAAGGTCTGCTTCTAAGAAGAGATGATAAATGTAAGGCAAATGCAAAACTCAAAGATACATGCAAAAAGGTTTTCTTTAAAGTGAAAACACAATGTTTGAAAGCGAATCTTGAAATTCCCATTGTGACGGACAAAGTCGGTATAAATAAAATAATTAGGAGTATGGAAAAAAGCTACAGTTACTGTTTACTTCAGGTGCAACACTCAAAACATTTTTAAGTTTAACTCTAATCTAGACAAGCTATTTGATATAGCGAAGTGCAAGTGTGACATAGTTTCTTGTGAGGAGGCAAGTTGTATTTTATGTGTTTTTAAAGCTCATATTTCTTGTCAATGCAAAAGAGAAAAAAAAATTCCCAGAATAGAACTTTCTAGTATCTTTGTAAAATTTTAAATTATTGAGTTCTTCGGTCATAGTAATTGTCTAGGTGTCTAATGAATCTTTTTTTGCTTCAGTTTTACATATGGGCCAACACATTTTAAATTCATATGACCTAAGCATTTATTGTAAAAACTTAAAAAATGGTCCGCCACATACACACACGCGCGCACACACATACACACGCACACAAAAGATGATATATATCTAAGTACGCATTTTCATAATATATTTTGTACGCTTTAATTTTTCAGAAAATCTTTTTATTTAAAAATCTTTTTATTTAAAAAAAAAATGATTTAATTTTTATTATAAACAGTTATCGGAAACTGTTTTTATTTTCTTTAGAATCGAAAGTAAAATTCCAGAAAAAGTGAAAGCCTTATTTTTGAAAGAGAAGAAGGATTAAATCATAGTGTCTGTTTGATTATTTTTGCGTTTTTTGTGTTTTTTTTTTTTTTTTTTTTTAATTTGCGTTTGTGTATTCTTGAATTCAAGCTATTTGGCGTTCTTAATGCTTACTACGAATCTTTTTTTAAAAAACATTAAAATTTATTTATTCTATCGTTTAGAACTTCTTTTGTTTGTGTATATATATATATTTATATATATATATATATATATATATATATATATATATATATATATATATTTATATATATATATATATATATATATATATATACACACACACACACATACATGCATGTATGCATGCATACATGCATACACTTTATATATTCTTTATTTATTTAAAGTTTGAGGGAGTAAAATATTTTTAAAGTTGTTTTTTGTGTGTTACACATATAAAAAAACTTAAGATAAAAAATGAAAAAAATTATATAAAGTGAAAATATATTCTATGTATATATATAACTGTTGTTAAGCATTATTTGTTGTCATTCATATTTTAAAATGTTTATAATCAAGATATATATTTAGTTTAACAAGTAGATATTAATGCTTTTTTAGTATTTGAAAGCACTCAGCAAATTTTCTAATTACGAAATACTCTGCTTATTGAAGTATTTCTGGTGCTTTTGAAGGTAAAATGCGAACTTTTTTAATGACCACTACGGTTATGATATTTAAAAAAACTTTTGTTTGACAATTTTTTAATTTAAATTAAATATAGTTTAATTTGATATATTTTATTTAAATTAGATTTTTTTTTTTTTTAAATTGAATATAATTGATGTTTATGCTTGAAGTCCATTAAAGTAAACAATTTAACGGTAAACGGAAAATATTAACAGCCAATAGAACTATGGTTCGCAAAAAAGTTCGCATTTTACCGACTACCGCTTTTGAAAGAAAGAAAAAAGCGTTTTTTTTTTATTTTTAAATTTCCTGATGTTTCAAAAGAGGTTTATACAATCTAGATAAGTTTTTACAAAAATACTTGTTATATAAATTAAAATAGAAAATTTAATTACAATTAAGTTATTAAAACAATAATCAGTGAATATTACTAATTACAATTATTAAAATTACTGGATTCGAACGAATAAAATTAAATATCAATTAGTAGTAGAGAAATGTTTAATTTAGGCTTTTTGGGACTTGCCACGCGATTGAACTTTTAAAAAGTGACACTGGTAAAGTTAGGGTTTTGTGAATACCAGTATTTTATTTTTTTCTGCTTTTAACTTTAAAGCATCCCATTAAACGCTCGTTCATTTTTAAGCATGTTAAAAACGTTTGTATATATAACTTTTTTGACATCTTGTAAGAGATTTTTTTTAGATCAAAACTTAAAATCTTTGCTTTTTATGAAGCTTTTAAAAATCTACTTTAATACATTTCATATTGTTGCTCACTCGGCATTACTATCTACAGCGTGACATCTAATTTGTACTAACGTTAAATAATTTAATACTTTTTATTTCAGCATAGGCTGCTATTAAATTATTGATTATTAGCTTATATTACTAGCTAAATGGATTGGTAATTCTCAACATTGTTAAAAAATATTTTTTATCAATAAGTAGCTTACTTTTTTCTTTATCAGACACTATCAGTGCACTGATAGAGTCTAATAAAGTAATGATAAAAATTTATCTTGACGCAAGGGTGGATCCATTGGGAGGGGATCGTACACTCTCTTACACATAATTTTTTTTTTTGTGATTATTACTTGGTGGTACATTTTATAACAAAAGCATGCAATGTTAATTAAAATATTAAAATACCTTGAAGTAATTTAGATTTATTGAAACAACTTTTTGACGAAGATTAGAGAGTTGTTTAACTTAATACCTATTTAAAATCTTTGTTGGTTATTTTAACAACTTATATTATAAGTTCTAATTTCCCGTCAAAACAGTCAATCATGTTTTTAATATTTACTGGAATTTCTCTGTACAGAATTAGGTAAGGCTAATCAGACATAGACGGCCAATTAGTCAAGTCTGACTAGACTTCAAAGTTCAAGTCGAACTTCACTCGCTTCTTGCATGCTACCCCTGGTCTCACTGTGCAACTTGGAAATTTTTTCCTTTTGGTAATTATTATTTTTTGATTAGTGATTTAATTTTTGAAAAACAGTAAATTTATGTTCGACAGAAACTTTTTTGCATTGTAGAAAAACCAGGGTTAATGCAAATGGAATACAGGTATTTTTATTTAAATCTATGTAGGAGAACTCTTTTACCAGTAAGCATACTTTTATGCGATAATAAAGATAATTTGATAATTTCTTTTATTTTCACGTTTAAAGTTTCTAGAAGGGTAGCAGATAATGTCTTGAAAAGCTGGCGATGATAAGTAAAACAAATTTAACTTTTGAAATAATAAAAGAAAAAAAAAATTTCAACTTAAGTTAGAAGAACAAACTCTCATCGAAAGCCCTTCCAAAAGTACTCTCAGCTAAAGAATCCCTGATATAAAGTACAACATTTTTATTTTAGCTGACTTAATAGATATAGAATGACACGCAAATGTTTGATTAGATGAACATGAGAAGAATGCTTGTAACAGCTATACTAGTATTTTAAAAAAAGTAACAACAACATTTGTAATACGTTTTTAGAAATTGTCTAAACGAAATAGGGCATTAATAGAAGAACCACCCCAAACATGAAAAAATTATCCATACAAGGACAAATAAGAAACAAAATATAGAGATACAGAATGGAATCAGATGTAAAAAGTTGCTAAACACGATAAAGAGAGACAAACTTAGGAAATGCTGACTTTGCAATGAATTATATATATATGGTTTTCATGATAGGTCATTAGTGAAAGATAATTCAAGAAAACATAGCGAACTTACTAGGAGTGTTGTCTTTTATCAATATAGAAAAATCATTGCAATTATTTTTACCTTATCTGAGGTTATGGAAAAGACCAACATGACTTTATCAAAAGCTTTTAACATTTCAAGAGCCACTGCTCTTGCATCTTCATTTCAATCTAATGTGCAATAAAAACTGTATCGATTGTATTTGATATAGAATAAAAATTGTTAGATCTTATTTCAATTCTAAGTTCAATTAAAGCTGACAATATTTTACTTCCACTGTAATCCATTGTAAATTTATTATAAATTTATGCGGAAATAAAATTCCCCTTTAAAATTCCGAAGAGATTTTAAAGGGGAGGTGCGGTATCTATTTTTTGCCGACTAAAGCTAAAAAAAAATTTTTACCCACTAACATATTTAAAAAAAAAAAAAAAGGTCCTCGTTTGCCGACTCTAGTGTCCAATTTTCCTACTAATAAAATTCGTAGGGGGGGCTAGACACCCCTTACGCTTCTCCTCTCCCCCCCCCTCCTTCATTGGGACGGCCCTGCATATACACCCAAAAATTACTTGAAACTATAAAAAATAATAGCTTTACCGGTACTTCAATACATGGAAACTTCATAGGTTTTGTTGTTTATGCTGACAACATCATTCTACTTAACTCTGCTCTATCTGGTCTTGAAAGGCTTAGGGTAAAACCACCAATACACGGTTTTCGAAAATTGTAACAAAAAAATTTCGAGTAAACAAACATTAAAAATGGTACATTTTATGAAGGAGTCAAGTTGTTTTTTAAATAAAAGATGGTTTTTTAAACTGAAATAATAATTTTGAAATTAAAACTTTTTGAGTTTTAACTCTCATCATTCTTTCTTTAATTTTAATAAGTAGTTATTGGTACAATTGCATATCATTGTATCGTAAAAAGTTGCTCAAATGGAAGTTATAAACTTATGAAATGGAGATATGAAATATGCACAGAATATAAATGTAATAAAGAAGAAATTGGATGAATTGTGCATTACCTTATCAGTTATTTCCTTTTCCAACTATGAAAAATTGTTATACAACTTGAATTCAGTACTTTCTTTATTTTAATTTTTACTTTATTTTTTAGTATCTTATACTGGTATTTATTTTGCTTGTTTGTGCTTTATAAGGTTCTGATGACAAGATCTTGTGATCTTCTTTCAGATCCTAGCTTATGTTTCATTGTAAGCAGTTTATGTATGTGCGCATCTACGCATTTGTATATGTATATATGCTTATATTTATATATGTATGTCCGTGTTTTTTCTTATTTTAATTTAGTTGATAAATGTTGTAACACGAATTTAATTGTAACACGATATATATGGCATATATAATTGTACTTTGACATTTTAATGTAAGCAAAATTTAAAAAAAAAAAAAAAAAAAAAAATTTGACAAGTTTGCTTCAATCATTTTAAAGATAAAGGGCCTACATTCAAAAATTATTTTCCCACTGAAAAACTTGGATACGATTCTAGACATAAAGTTTCACTTTTATGTCTCTAAATAGAAATAGCACAGTAAAAACTGACTCAAATGTAAATTCCGCTACATACTGTAATAGCATATTATGTTTATCAAAATTGAGGCAATTTTTTTGTTAAGCAGCCATGTTCTAGTTCCTTATTACTTAGTGTCAACTTCAGTCAAAATAAAAAACATTGACTTTATGATTGAATCAGTACCAGTAGTAGTAGAAGTAGTAAATAAAAATGTAAGTTATATTATTTCACATTCTAATCTTAATGAGTTTTCTCAAGCTTAAAAATCAATTTTTTTATAAATAACCTGAAAAAAACTTATATTATAATCATTTCTTTATTTTTAAAACAGAAAAATACAAATTCAGGTAAATATAATTAAAAATAAAGTCAAAAAAAATCATCAAAACAAAGTCAACACACAGTTATTAACAGCTGACTAAAAGTGTAACTTCTACTCAAACATTCCTTCAATGAAAGTTTTTAATATTCTCCATGACCTTGTAAAACCAATTGTACAAAACACCAAAAAAACGTGGTAAACAGAAAATTATGTTCACATAATAAATTTTTACTTGTTCTGTTAAAATTACACTTTGGATTGTAATACAATGGTGTAGATTCATGTACTGAATCAATGTGAGGCGATAACATT